AACTTTGTTCTTTTGAGTTCCTTAGGAATGTGATGAGCCCTCAAACAGAGTCTATGTTGATAGCCATCATCAATGAAAACTGAAAGATCTGGTGTGGCAACTGCCAGTCTGTAACACCAGAAGGTCAACATTCCTAACCTCTCCCCTGTCATCCACTGGCCTATATAACTGCTTCAAGACTCTGTGCCCCACTTAAGATGGTTCTTTTGGACATTAGTTGGCCATCTTCCCTCTTGCCAGCAAGCTGTAATAAAATGCCCTTTCTCTGTCACCATCTTGCCTCTTGACGACTGGCTTTTGTCTTGTGGTGAGTAGATCGTGCTTTCTATGTGGTAACACAACTGTCAAGCCTCAGAGGAGGAGTGCTCTTCATTTAGTAAAAAATTATAGGATTTCCTCTACTGGATCTTTTTTCTTTCTCTGTACAATCTACCAACCCCATCCTGGGTTCTCTGCTGCTGTTCTCCTGTTAGCTGTTCTCATGTTTCTTCTCCCTACTTCTCATCAAAAGCTTTCTAGGACTATTAAATTTTTCTTTAGCTTCATATGTTCCCCCCAAAAAATCACTGCATTTAGTTACTTGCATACAATTATGACACTCATGTTTTATTTTTTTTAAAACTGAAAGCTCTGTCAGAAGCTAATTCCTATTGACTGCAACGCATTTCAAGTCAAAAAGTTCTTATGAAACACATTGTATGTCCAGGACAAGGCCAGGTGCTACAGACAGTAGCTCGTATCTCTTTTATAAATTATGTAAATGCCATAGTAATTTGATATCCACTACCATCCATTCATTTGAAAAGCACATGAAGCAGCTCTTTTTTCAGTTAGGAACTTGATAATGACTCCTTTTCTCCTTGAATTCATATTTTTATCTCACTTCGCCCACATAAGCTTATCCCAACATATTTTAGTTCTTGAAAATATTTTAAGTTGATCATCTTATCACATTTCCCTGCAACAAAAAAGTATATTTTAAAATTCCTGAGAACATAAGTTCTAAAAATTTTCATTAGTATTGTTATCATTAAATTACTAGAACACTACTGATCAAATAAACATATTACAAATTATAATCATTATAAAATATTAAAAGTCAGCTTTTATTGGAGACGTATCTCATAAAGAAATGGATAGGGCCTTCCCCCCGACTCCCATTTAGGTCATGTATCCAGGATGTATATTACTTATTGCTAGAAAGAAACAGGACTCAGGTTAATTCTATTCTTATGTTTTGTATTCTTCTATTCCAAATAATTTGGGAGTAGAGGATTTCTGGTTATATCAATAATCATTCTTTTGAATTACTAAACTATGTACCAAAAGTCACATGGAGTATGGCATCAAAAATGATTTTTTTTTTTTTTAAGATTTTATTTTATTTTTTTTTATTTTTTCCTTTTTCTCCCCAAAGCCCCCCGGTACATAGTTGTGTATTCTTCGTTGTGGGTTCCTCTAGTTGTGGCATGTGGGACGCTGCCTCAGCGTGGTCTGACGAGCAGTGCCATGTTCGCGCCCAGGATTCGAACCGACGAAACACTGGGCCGCCTGCAGCGGAGCGCGCGAACTTAACCACTCGGCCACGGGGCCAGCCCCTCAAAAATGATTTTTAACAATCAGCTGACAATTCAATTAAGTCCTTCTGCAATATTTTTGAAAGTCATTGGAAATCACCTTTCTTGCAAAAGAATTGGATACCCAGTCATTAGAATCATTCACTTTCTAAACAAGATTTAGGTCAGATGAAAGATATTGCTTTATTTGTAGAATGAGGGAAGAACAATTATCAAAGAGGAAAGGGAAAAGGGGGTCTGGTTAAGGCACACTCTGAGGCAGATTAATTTTAGGGAAGAAAATTGCAATTACGTTAAGTTGACAACCTGAAAATTAATATCCTTAAACTGTCGTTTACATAACCCCCTGGAAAGCCAAGGCTAAGGGTTAGGGATATGTATTGCCTAGTTTGAAGACTACTGCTTCAGGACACAATATGTATTTGAACATACACAGTGTAACAGAAGTCATGAACTTTGATTAAGTAGTTCACAACTTTCTGTGTGTGTATCTGTGTGTGTTTTGGGGGTGTATGTGTGTGATGAGGTATGGGAGAAAAGAGGGAACAGAGACTATATATGCCCAGATACCAGATTTTTCATTTTTGGTAGTATTTTTGAATCTGTTCTCAATCTCTGCCACTAAAATCATTCTCTTACCCTAGAGCTTTTAACCTGGACATGTGATATGCAGGGGAGAAGAGAGGAAGAATGCTTTCAAAACAATACTGATGAAATGACATTGAAGCTAATATTAATATGAAAAGACAGATACTGCTATTTCAACTCAAAGGTTCTGACATCTTAAGTCTGACACTGAAGAGCCACACTTATCAAGGGTCTACCACAGAGCACAGTACTCACAGAATACAGGACAAAGAAACAGAAAACATGATCCTTAGGATGGTATGATTTTAACCAAATTAAATTAATATAGACTTTAAATCACTAACCAGAAATCTGCTTTAAAAATTTTCCTCAAAAGGTATATTCTTACTGTTTCCTCTAACTGTATATATTCGTCACAACTCAAAAATACATAGCTCTCATTTTTTTTAAAAAAACACGTTTTTTTCTTTGTTTTTATATACTGCCTAATTAAACAAAAATAAGATTTGAAGCAGCTCTAAAACTGCATGATTGACTAAAAATAAGAGAAGCAGGGTGAGCCACAGTCAAGAGTTGTGCCAGGGCCCATAGCGTTCGCGCAGATATTGCTTTGAAATCCAACTTACGCCAGTGAAACCTAGCCACGGCCAGTATTATATCCCTCAGGAGCCCTGTCCTAGAAGGAAAACATCAGGAGCTTGGCAAGGGGGAGGGAGGATGTGGGAAAACGTAGGGAAGAAGCTCCTGTGATATCCATCTATTTTTTATTTACAACCACCTGTAAACATGACACTTAAACCGCTTTGTGTCAAGTGTTCAATTCAGTCCAAAATTGCCATTCTGTAACAAGTACATATTTTTAAAGCAGTAGACTGGTTTGAAAAATTCACACTGCATTTGTAGTTACAGAAAATGTAATAATGATTTAAAAAAAATTGTCTCAAACCTGGCCTGGGACAGAATTTTTTGGATGACTGTAATTCACAACTCTCTCTTGGGATGAAATGAACATTCCTGAAAAAAACGCCTAAGCAATCTTCCAATAACCTTTAATGGAATTAAGAGTTGCTCTGGAAAACCCTTCACTTACCTAACCAGTTGACTATTAGTTTAAGAGTCTAGTGACCCAAAAATTCTTTTCTGTTATCTAGTTTAGTGATTCTCTAACCATTTTCTTTTCCCACAAATGTCCCCACCAATACTGTACCTTTTAATCGACTTATCAGAGGTCTTTTCCTTTGCAGCAAGATTGCAATAAAAGCTTAACACACTCTTATAACTAAACTGTGAGTTTTCTTAAATAATTTATTTTACTTGCTAAAATTAATTAAAGCTGATGCATGTAAGTGGATAGAAAGTGACAATTTCCATGTTAACGTAGTGAATATCTGGATTATATTTTATCATAACCTACCAGGGGTATCACTCCTCCCCCACTCCAAAATTTAAGATGTTTTACTTGACTAAATTGACAGGCTTATGCATTCTGGGCAAGCAAATAATTTTGTTAAGACGACCCACTTTTTTCATAATTGCAATAGTGAGGAGTATATTTTAAAACAAAAATAGACTCATCAGGTAAACTTTAAAATACTGAGCTGAGTATTTCTCCTTATTTACTGAGACAGAAAAGATAAAAATGAATATCCCTTCTTTTTTAACGTCTTAAATTATTCTAAATTGGGAACGAAGGCTCAAAAACAGAAAACATTTCTATTATCTACAAATTGGAAATCAAATTATCATTTTATTTCTGATGATTTTGGGTGCCTCAACCGAATTTGTTAACATTCTCCAAAACTCCTCTACTAGCCAAAACATACCGCTGAGTGGTTTGCTTTTAAATTTGTAGAGCGCGTTACCGAGGCAGTCAAAAGAATTAAAGACTGACTCTTGTTCAAAATATTAAAAACAGTGCTCTCTTCCATGCCCCAGCCCAATAAATCAACGCGAACAGTACTTTCTAAACGATTACAGTAATACAGATTTTTAAAATTCTTGTAAGTTTAAGATGTGGTCTTTGTTCACAACAGCTGTGAATTTTCACTTAAACCTAAACCAGAAAGAGAAGCTTAACAACAATAATACATTTTAAAGTAAATCCTAGAGCTGAATCCATCCTTTAATGAGCTGACAGGTGGGCGGATAAATTAGAACGCGGTTCAAAAACAGCTTCCAACAGAATACCGACTTAGTGTTTAAGCCCTCAGTTGACAAAACACAACGTGAGGGGGTGGCGACAGGCATCACTGTTGCTAACCGGCGGCTAGCGAGGATAAATTCTCTAAACGTATCATTTTCTTCTTTATTCGTTTAACCAGAAACTGCCCTAGAGCTTGAGGGGCTCCATCTGGTTGCGACCTCTAAAGATGGTAACGAATTCAACTACTCGTTACTTCACAGCTCAGGACTGTCTCCATCATCTACAAATAACCAAGAGTAGTAACTCGAGGGCAGCCGGAAAAGTTCCCAAATCCCAAGACTTTGCCTTAACTTTCATAAACTTCACAATTTTTAAAAAGGCAGACTGCTGAAGAACTACGGGTCTCGGAGCAATTTTTGTGTTTCACAAGCTCTCCCGAGTGTTCCCAGCAGCGCCCAGAACACAAACCCCACAGGGGGTTAAGCGGCACCCCTCCCCCACGCGTGAACCGTTACGGGTTTCCCAGCTCCCAGCCGCAGCGAGGCGACACCGCTATACAACCATAAGGGTGCTACCAAGCGGCGCCGACGCACACCACAGACACTCGGGGACCCCCAAGCGGACGCTGACAGAAAAGGACGCGCCCGACTACAGCCCTGAAGGAGGCCGTCCGCCCAACCCAACGCTCTTACCCAACTCGGGCTCCGCCTCTGCCTCCTCGCGTCGCCACAGCCCCGCCCCGTCCCGCCGCGGAGACTCACGGGACACGTAGTACGCCGCGCCCACCTTCCCCTCCCCCTTCCCTCGCAAAGGACCGGCTTCGCGAACGCCCTCCCGGCTCCTTCTGGCCTGACTTCCGGTTTGCTCGCGCTGCCCTGGCGCCGAGCCTGCGGACAACGGAAGCCTGTTTTCGGGCCGTGCGCTGCTCGTCCTCCCTTCCACCGCCCCCCTCGACAGCGCTTCCCTTCCGCGGCGCGCGGCGCGGCCGCCGGCCCGTGCAGGCGCTGACGAGACCGGCGCCGGCCGGCCGGGGTCTCGCGCGCGTGTTGCTGGGTAACGGGCCTTCTCCGGCGGCGGCTCGGCCCCTCCTGCGTCGGCTTGCCCCTCCTTCCAGAACCTCCTGGGCCTCAGCCCACGGGCCGGGCCGCGCCTGCTCTGGCGCAGCCGAGGCCAAAGAAATGGGAGTCCCGTCACGGCGTTCCGGGAGCTGCTGCCTTCGCTGGGGAAGCGGCGGTGTCTTCGAGGAAACCGGAAGCCCGTGGTGACCCCTGGCGACCTGATTTGTTTTCGGTCCGTTTCCAAACAGTGAGGAATCGAAAGTCGGCGGCTCTGGGGGCGGCCTTCCGTCGCCTGTCTTTGGGGTGAGTGACTCGCTTTGGCCGGGTCGGGGTGCGGGTAGTGCCGGGACCGACCTCCGCTGCGGTTGCTGGTCCGAGGAGACACGTCATTTTCTCCACAAACCCGCTCCCCCTCCTTTGACTGGGGAACGGCCCAGCCCTGGGCGTCCCTTACCCCTGTCACCCTCGCACCCTACCTGTTCCAGGCCCTAGTTGATACTTCATTTTATTTCTCCCTCTTGCCACATTTCTTTCTGTTCTCTGATTTACTGGGGCGCCTTCAGTTATGTTTCATTTATTAGATTACATTTATTCCGGAACCGAAGAGTTACGTGTGGCTGGGACGGTAGTGCTCGGGGCACCCGAGCAGTGAACATCAACCCTCTGTACATTATCGAGGGCTAACACAGGGTATTCATCGTTTCCCCACTGTCTACCCGGTGTATTCACTATGGTTTTTGATCATTTGCTGAGTGACTACTGCATGCAAGGTAGGCTAAGACCCTACTCCCTACAAACAAGGAACTCAAATACTCGAAAGTGAGATAAAATACAAAAACTGTAATGCAAATGAAAACATAATTGCTCCAGGATGTGTTGTTTAAAATATGCGAAGATGATCAAAGATAGTAACGTAATAGGATCGAAATTGACTCCTGCCTCTCTAGCATAGAAGCCACTTTCATTTTCATTGTTGGAATTTTAAGTTGGATTGAGCAAGTGCTCAGAGCATAATTTAAATTCCAGTTCTCCAAATATGTAGAATCTAATTTTCCAGCCTGTTGTGAACACTCCCTACATGATCTGTAAATTAGGAATCCCGCTCAGGGTGGTTACAAAATGTTAACGCGATAGTTTGTAAAATAGGAAGTGGTATACAAATGTAAGGTTTTAATATTAAAGAGACTGTATAATGTAATGGGAAATGCACTGGATTAAGTCAGAACATTAACTCAGGATCTGAGTGCTGAATTTTCACTTGTTCACTTTACACTGCATAAGAGACTAAATCTCTTCTTCATTTCCGTCTCTAAAATGGGAATGGTGCTTATTCTCCAAGGCACCAAAGTATAGTTTCCAAGAGTTTTGCTGGCTCTGGAGTCACCTGACTGACTTTTATTCCTGGGTCCTCCACTTTCTAACGTTCGCCTGTCTTAGCTGCTCCACCTGTGATATGAGGAAATTCTTGCCCGCCTGAGGTCTTAGATAGATTTAATGAATTGTTATGAAGAACAAATGAGATAGTTTCCCTAAAAGGCAAAGCACCTGAGATACCATAAACACTCGATAAATATTAATTACCAGCACAGAACATTGTCCTGATTATTAAATAAAGTGATGTGATGACGTTTTTCATAATCCTTGAAGTAATAGGACCAGTGTAACTTATTTTTTTCTTTCTTGTGGTGGTTCTTTTCTGGATTAAAGTATAGTTGTTTTATCACTATTAGAGAATAATTACTGCTAATACTAGTAGCATTTAGCGTACATAGGTGCTGAGTTGCGTTTAGATGTGTTACTTTATGAAAGGAATGAAAAGAAGTAGATTGTTCTTCATACCCACGCTAACGCTCAGAGTCTTATGCTTCCTTGGCCATACAAACTGATTCCTGGAAAGAAGGATCATCAAGTGCCCTTTTTCAAGATACTGTCGCTCAATTTACACACCTCAGCACTCAAATGTCCTACAATTCAGTGAGTGTCCAAAAATGTACTCGACATCAGATATACAGTATGAAAAACTCCATTTTCATTTTTATAACCCTGAGTTATCTCACTAAGTGCATTAGTCCAGGAATCAGTTTGTATGGCCAAAGAACCATAAGACTCTGGGCGTTAGCATGGGTATGAAGAACAATCTACTTCTTTTCATTCCTTTCATAAACTGGTTAAGCCATTCCTGCCCCTAATTATTTCATTAAAAATAGGGAGAAAGGTGTAAGTGTTGTTCTGTTTGCCTCCATAAGCTTTAATCCGTGCTTATCTTGACTGATTGTATGAAGTAGGTACAGGGATATTCTGACTTTTCAGAGGTAGAAGGATGATGGAAATTCTAAATAAGATTCTTTTCAGGAGGTATGTAGAATAGAGGAAAGAGCCTACCAAATAGGCCTTGATTCAAACCCTAGCTCTGTCATATACTGACAGTGTGATTATAGACAATTTTTTTTTTTGAGGAAGATTAGCCCTGAGCTAACATCTGCTGCCAATCTCGTCTTTTTTTTTTGCTGAGGAAGACTGGCCCTGAGCTAACATCTGTGCCCATCTTCCTCCGATTTATATGTGGGACACCTACCACAGCATGGCTTGCCAAGCAGTGCCGTGTCCGCACCTGGGATCCAAACTGGCGAACCCTGGGCCGCCGAAGCAGAACATGCGAACTTAACTGCTGCGCCACCAGGCCGGCCCCTAAACAAATTTACTTCACCTCTTTGAGCCTCAGTTACCTCATCCATGGTGTTGATAAGACGTTTCTAGCCAAGTTTGGTGTGGACTTGAGGTAATGGTGTGCACTATACCTTTTACTCAGTTCCTGGCGAAAATGTGAATTCCCTTCTATTTAGGTTGCCATACCATATTCACATTAAAATTTTTCCTTCACAATTTAGGAGGGTGGCGTCTTAGTGATATAGTTTAATCCTGTCGTATTGGTGGGAAAATTTAGATCTGGAGAGGTAAACTAATCAGTAATCGAGGTGGCAGATCGTAGACTAAAATCTGGGTTTCTGAATCTTGGGCCACTGTTCTTTCTACCACTGAGTTGTGCTGTGTCCAGATTCTTACTGGGAAAATCGGAATCCATATTGTGTTGCCTCTCAGAATGTTGTATTAAGAGCACACATTGGGAAGACAGCATATCTGGGTTCACATCCCAACTTTGTGGCCGATTACTTATGTAGCTGTGGATAAAGTATTTAATTTTCTAAGACTTTGTTTATAAATTAGGGTAATAGTACCTACCTAAGAAGTAGGAAAATGCATGTAGAAGCACTAGTGTCTCACATATGATAAGTGATCAATAAATGGTAAATATTAGGATGATGAAATATGACAGGGTAATCATATTTTTTCCTAGAAAAAAGACCAGTCTAGGGTCAGAAGATACTTCTATTTTTTCTAGTATCTTAGACCCCAGTATATAAAGTCTGTCTCACCTGAAGGTCTTCTCAATGTTGATTGTGAAGACTTTGAGTAAAGACTCAAATTTAAGATCATGTAAAATAATTCTGATTAATAACATGTGAATCTTTGTTTTTTCATTTATGTCTCTTCCCTAGCCTCAGGAACTACTGTTCTCTTTTCTGCCCTTCTTTCTGCATTATCATTGTGATATTTTGATTTATGAGAAATATACATTTGGTCATTCAGATGACCAAAATATATTTCTCATATATACTTGGTCTTTGTCCACTGTTCCTTGGCTCACAGCTTCCAAAACCCTTGGAATGTCCTGAGGGATAAGAGCTATGGGAACATCTTTTGTCATAATATTTGGTCTCTTGTTCTCATTTCCTGAAATTGCTTCAGAGCCATAAAAGTGAAATGGGTGTCCTGTTATTCATAAGAAGCCCCTTTCCACTACCCTTTTCCACCATGGCTGGGCTTATGTTAATTAGGTGACTTTTGGATAACACCTTAGGATGGGGGCTGATTGCCAGAGGAACCAGCCATGTGATTAGAAGGTTGGAACTTTCAGTCCCACTGACCTCAGGGGAGGGGAGAAGGACTGGAAGTTGAATCAGTTGCCAGTGATTTAATCAGTCATGCCTATGTAATGAAGCCTGCCTAAAAACCCAAAGAGGGGGCCGGCTCTGTGGCATACTGGTTGGGTTTGGCATGCTCCTCTTTGGCGGCCCAGGTGCATGGGTTTGGATCCCAGGCACAGGTCTACACCACTCTTCAGCCATGCTGTGGTGGCAACCCGCACATAAAGCAGAGGAAGATTGGCACAGATGTTAGCTCAGGGATAATCTTCCTCAAGCAAAAAAAGAGGAAGGTTGGCAACAGATGTTAGCTCAGGGCCATTCTTCCTCAGGAAAAAGTAAAACCAAACCAAAGAGGAGAGGTTTAGAGAGCTTCCAGGTTGGTGAACCAGAATGCTTTCGTTTGCCAGCCCCAAACTCCAGGAGGACAGAAGCTCCTTTGTTCAGTACCTCGCCCTATGTATCTCTTCATTGGGCTGTTGATTCATATCCTTTAATACCCTTTGTAATAAACCAGTAATCAAGCGAGTAAACAGGTTTCCTGAGTTCTCTGAGCTGCTTTAGCAAGTTAGTCAAACCCAAGGAGGGGGTTGTGGGAACCTCGATTTATGGCCCGTTGGTCAGAAGTGCAGGTAACAACCTGGACTTTCAACTGGCATCCTGAGTTGGAGGGAGTCATTGGAACTTTCAGTTTGTATTTGGTCAGTCAGAAGCACAGACGACAACCTGGGCTTGCGATTGGCTTCTGCAGTCAGGGGCTGTCTTGTGGGACTGACTTCCTTACCTGTGGAATCTAATGCTATCTCCGGATAGATAGCGTCAGAATTGAGTTGAACTGTAGTACACCTGTACAACTGGTGTCCAGAGCATAGCTTGTTGATAGTGTGGAAACAC